AGGGAAACAATGGACGGTGACCTTCGAGATAACCTCTATACTGTATTTCTGGGAAGATGCAGTAGAACAGGGAAAAAAAACAAAACAGACCCAAATCGCCCGCCCAAACCCATATCGCCCACCCCCAGTTTTCAACGGAAAAAACCCTATCCCTCAAAAGGGAAACAATGGACGGCGACCGTGACAAGATAACCTGCCCTACGACCGGTCTTAGGGACGACTGCGACCGGACCCTATTTTCTGCTGTCGGAGACCCCAAATGAACCTGTCCTAGCGAAGCTGTACTGCACGACCTTACCGAAAATAGAAAGAACATGAAACGACGAAAAGGGAATCCACACAAGCGCAGCCCCCTGGCTGCAAACCTTTTTTTTTTTTTTTAACTACATGTATAAAAAAAAAAAAAACATAAAAGCAAATAAGAAAAGGAAAAACAGACATGCACGCACACGCAGAGACACAACACACACAAACACACATAAACACACACACGCCAACAATCATGCACACACACACACACACACACACACACACACTTACAAACACACACACACAAACTCACGCGCATACATACATATTCATGCACAGACACACTCTCACACGCAGGCACACACATACACACATACGAGCGCACACAGCACACCTACACACACATAACTGGGGCCTTGGGGGATGTGGGGGCGGATGGCTTAGAGGGCTTCCGGGTAGGTTTGGGGACTGGTGCTGGGGGGTTGGTGTGTGGGCGGCCTGGTTGGGGGCCGGGAACCCCCAGCACACCTTGTTGGCGGGGGGGTTCCGACCCCACATCGGGTGGTTTTGGCCTCCCCAGGGCCTACCGGGTCCGACCACGCCGAGAAAACGGCGCGTCGGGCCTGTGAGGCCTGTTTCTTTTTTTTGAATTTGGGACGGCCCTCTGGCTGTCGATCACCCATGATCGACGGCCAGAGGGCCGTTCGTTTTTGGAGGGAAACGGAGGCCCCATTTGAACTAGCGACTGGCTGGGGCGGCCTGCATTGGCTGTCCAAACGGGGCCTCGATAGCTGCTCCAGCCGCCTGCGTTCTTGCTGCTGCCCCTCGTCGAAGTAGCTGCCCTCGTCGCCATCGCCTGGGAGCTTCGCTCGCCCGTCGTCGTGGTGTCGCCCGTCGCCAGCGTCGTCGATCGTGGTGCTCCTGCCTGCCAACATCCCTTGCCACCCGTCGACGTGGAGTGCTGGTCTTCTTCTTCTTCTTCTTCGCTCATTCTTCTGCTTCTTCTCTTGTCCTCCTCCTCCCCCTCTCTTCTTCTTCTTCTTCTTCCTCTTATACTTCTTCTGCTTTTCTTCTTCCACGACTTTTTCACTCCTCCTCCTCCTCCCCCTCTCATCTTCTTCTTCTTCTTCTTCTTCTTCTTCATCTCTCGTCGTCGTCCTCCCCCTCGTCTTCTTCTTATTCTTCTCTCCTCCTCCTCTTCCGACTATCTTCTTTTTCTTCTTTTTTTTTACATTCGTTAGCGATAGGTCACGAGATAAACGACAGGTAAGAAAAAAAAAAACCTGCTCCGCAAGTCATCTTCTTCTTCTTCTTCTTCTTCTTCTTCTACTCTCCTGCTCCTTCTCCGATCATTCTTCCGTCTCTTGTCTCCTCCTCCTCCTCCCCCTCTCATCTTCTTCTTCTTCTTCTTCTTCTTCTTCTTCTTCTTCTTCTTCTCAGCCGTACCCCGCCGCTATACCCCGCCGTCATACCCCCATGCCACCGCCATACCCTAACGCCGGCATAGTACATCTTCTTCTTCTTCTTCTTCTTCTTCTTCTTCTTCTCCTTCTCCTCCTCCTCCTCCGCCTCCCACTCATCTTCTTCTTCTTTCTCTTCTCGCCTCCTCCTCTTCCGCCCATCTTATTCTTCTTCTTCTTCATCTCTCCTCGTCGTCCTCCCCCTCATCTTCTTCTTCTTCTTCTCTCCTCCTCTTCCGACAATCTTCTTTTTCTTCTTTTTTGAAAAATTAGTTAGCAATAGGTCACGAGATAAACGACAGGTAAGGGGAAAAAAAAAAAAACTGCTCCGCTCGTCATCTTCTTCTTCTTCTTCTCTCCTACTACTTCCCTCCGCCATACCCCGCCGTCGTACCCCCACCCCGCCGCCATACCCTAACGCCAGCATAGCACATCTTCTTCTTCTCCTTCTCCTGCTTCTTCTTCTTCTTCATCTCTCCTCCTCTGCCTCCACTCATCGTCTTCTTCTTTCTCTTCTCTCCTCCTCCTCCTCTTCCACCCATCTTCTTCTTGTTCTTCGACAGCCATACCCTAACGCCATACCCCGCTGCCATACCCTGCCGTTATACCTCATCATGTTGACATGTCGGCCTGTCAAACCCACAAAAACATGCAGAGCCCCGAACCCAGTATGTACTTGGTATCATACATGCAGCAAACAGCAGGCAACATGTATGCAGAGTTCCCAACACCCAGAACACCCCCCCACCCCACCCCCCTCAC